TCTGGCTCTTTGCACAACCGTTGCCCTTAAACAAACTGCTGAACCCAAAACCCTTCATGGTTTGTCATAGTACAGGTTTTTTTTACTTCACGTTTTTAATTAGCTCAAAGTAACTATTTTCTCAAAAATTGCTCATGAAATCAGAAGGTATCATTAACAGATAAAACAATCAATTTAACAGATTTCGGTCATTGATTTTCTCGTGACCCTCATTTGGTGGGTGTTAGTGAGTCCGATATTTCAAGGGCGATCATAATTACTTAAGCATCTATTTTTAGTTCTCCGTTCATCATTTTTAAAATTGGAATCCATCTGTGGAGTTTCTATCTAATGTAGTAAACGCAAAAATTAATATTCTGGTCAGTAGTTTGTCACACTTCTGACCGTTACGCCGCAGGTCCTAAAAGGTAAATATTGTATCAGCAAAAAAAAAAAAAAAAAAATATATATATATATATATATATATATCAAGAAATATATAACGGTACAGACAGGTTTTACAAACCCAACTCATGACTAACAATATTATTGGTTATGAAATATATTTGCGTATCCGCGCCATTAGAATGTTTTGTAATATTCAGCAGCATAAATGAAGATTGCCATCTTTTTCTTCACCGGCCTAGATTTTTCTTTCAATGGGCTAGAGAAATCGAAAGACAGAAATCTGATTGGTTGGATAGCATTATCTTTATCCAATACGAACTACGAGCGGAAATTGCCTTTATCTTATTGGCCAGCTGCTGTTGATTATTCAAAGCTGGATTCTCGGATTATAGTTATTAGTACATAAAGGAGGTCGCTGACCATCATTCCACTCTAAACTCTAAACCCCTACTGGAATTGATTGATTTGGATTGATGTCAGAAGGAGGAATTCTAACCCATCACGGCAATGTCCAATCATTCCAATCCAATACAACGAGAGTGTGAAGAACTGATGCAGGAATACACATTGTTTTTTAGGCAGTGCTATAACAATATCATAACCAATAATTGATATTATTGGTTGTTTATAATACATTAAATATACGAATAAATAAAAATGCTGTATATTTTTTGCTTTCTTGCTACCAAAGATAGGGAAGCTTTGTATTCGTAAGGAGAAGTTAAAAAAATGTTCGTGCTCAGAATCTAAAATAATTTTCACTTGCGTATTAGAGACGAGACTAGAAACATAAAGGATTCGTTAAACTATTTTTTAACGTAATAAGAAAACACTGTCAAATAATTCAATAATTTATTTCTTAGAAAGCTCCTATTTTAGAGTGTAACTCCTAAAATTCCAAAGTTGGATTTTAATACATTCTTTTGTTTTAAAAAATGTATGTAATAATTCATATTTCTTCCGTTTATTTAAAAAAAGTCATAAAGTATATTTTTGATGGAGCTAAATTTTTGAGAATTTTTTAATCTTTTTTATATCAAATATAGTTAAAACAAGCGCAAAATTTTCTGATCTCGCAAAAAGAAAATTTATCAATTTCTTTTCATGAGTTTTTTCCATAAACCGAAGGTTTTTTTACAGGTTTCCAATTTTAAAAGTATTCTTTCTTTAATTAAGATTTTTCTTAATTTTTATTTAATATCCACTTTGTCTATTCGATAATGAGGACTACTGATATTACAATCCAAACAACGCCAACCGTAATGTGTACGGTACCAATTTCTAACTTTTGGATACGGATTTATTAATTATTTTTTTATATTATTTATTACCTGAAAACTCTTTTTATTTATTTAAAAGATAAATATATGTTTGCTGAGATGAATTTTTAATCTACCAGTGTATTAACTCAATATGAAATAAAAAAAAAACCTGTACCACTACAACCCATGAATCGTCTTGAGATTCAGGGAAAGCACTGTTTCTTGGTCTACGGTTGTGCAAGGAGGTGATTTGCCCGAGATCACGCTCAACAGCCAGTTTTTCCCTCTTAATTAATTTTAATTAATACCTTCATTAAAATTTAGGGGAACCCACTTCATAGAGGCTGGGTGTGCCCCAGGATTGTCTACCTACCCAGGGTCGCCCCACGGCCAATGAAACAGAATAAATAATTTTTCTGCCATGAGCCGGAATTGGAACCTGGGACCTATAGCATTGGAAGGTCAGTACCATGAGTAAATTTAAAAAAACCAAGCAAAAAAGAATATGAATAATACAGAACAAAGAGAAGAAAACAGAAATTCAAAACTAATGAAAATTAAACAAAAATATAATAATAATAAAATAACATAATAAAGCAAATGTATCAGATAACACAGCTAAATTTAGTAAGGCTATTATCCTCAGAAGTCTTCTGGGCGCATCATACGGATTTGTGGCAGTAGATAGAGCTTGAGTAAGATGATTTGAATTTAGAGCTAGACTGCCATGAAAATTATTGAAACGTTCTGTGGCATTTGCTGTGATAAACGTAATGTCAAGGTGAGATTGTAACGCAGGTTTAAAAACATAAAAGGGGCGTTTACAATTTTCCGGAGAACCTTTGACTGGAAAGATTGAATTATTTATATATTTGATGTCTTTGCTGTTCCCCATAACTGGATATTATATGTCCAAAGTGGTTTAAAAAGCACTTTGTAAATAGTTAATTCATTAATCATTAATAATTGAGGGGCTACTACGTCTGTCAAGTAGCCTAGAAAGAAGTCCGTAACGCTGATTGAGTTCTTTTCTTTTTCTTTTATGTGGCATATCCACTTTAGTCGTTTGTCTAAGTAGATACCCAAATATCGTACTGTTTTTGATTTTGGTACAGCGATATTGTTAAAAAAAAATACGACAAGATTCATGTCGAACTGTAAATGAAACGAATTGGCTCTTGGCCCATTGACTAATAGCCCAATAAGCTCTGTCGTCTATGTGTTCTTGGAGTACCTTAAAAGCCTTACCTAAAAACAAAACGACTACCTCAACAATAATAGGGATTGTTAGAAAGGCCTAAGGTTGATCCAAAATGGCGTGGTCGTAATACATTCAGTCGCTCATTGCACACTGGAGCCGCCAGATATTCGAGATTAAGGTCGATGATCCAACTGCCGTAATGACCCATTGGTTGATTACCTGTTAGTTCATTGAATGGGATATAGGGAGCGCCTCCAATCAATGCTTCTAAATAGGACAAGGACAGCGCGACCTTTCCTCACACTCTTGGCTCGACGAGTATTTCGGAGTAATCGACAATCAAATTTCACTTTCATCGTTTTTAGATGGAATTAAATTCCTGTGGATAGAATAAAATAAGACCAATATAAGAATAGATTTATGAACTGATTGGTAATATGTTTTTGACAAATTACAAATTTGTCATTCAAACGAACTTCAAACGTTCTAATAATAAAAAAAGGACTAACACATCCCAAAAGAAAATGCTTCTTACAGGATATTTAAATAAACTTTGTGACCATCAAATAGATAGCCTATAAAAAGTATTCGTATTTTAAAAAAACCTGACAGAAATCAGGAAATACACATCATAAGGTATTGTTCATCCAAATCTACCTTTGTATATTGTTATGAAAAGTAACTACTAAGAACATTTAAAATTACTTTAATAGAATAATTTAAAATAGTGCCCGAACGAAACCCAATGAAAGATTATAGATATTAACATAAACCGATAAATAGAGCGAAATCGACTGGAGCTGTAACGTGTAGTGAATGGCAACCGAATACAAAACAATAGTTAATTATTCATTAATGCCAATTTTTAAATTAAATTCAAGAAAAAAAATAAATTGTTAAGAACTTTTTAATCTTTACGTATTCCTACGTACTATGTTTGGTGATTTTCTTCAAGCTTTAAAAATTAATAATAATAAGACTTAACGAACCCGAAGGTTCTATGCCGATAGCACCAATCGATGCCTACATTTTTCCATCCCTGGACGCCATCCAAACCCAACCCCACCAGATCAGCCTTAACGCAATCTTCCCACCTTCACTCTACCCCTCGGATGCTTGTCAGTCGGCACAGCGCAAATAAACCTTATGGGAAATTCGTTCATTTCTAAGCCTAGAAATTTTACATGCCCATTTTATTCGCACCAATGTAATCATGTCAAATATGTTAACCAGGTACGTTGCGTAACCGCCTAAATTCTTCGGTTAACTCATCCTTCTTCAGTCCGAATATATATATCTGGCCCAATCCAGATACCTATCCTTCCATAATAAACTTCAGAATCATCCCAACCCTCTCGTTTCAAATCTTGCTTCCTCTTCAATTCCTGATAACCCTCCGAAGCGTCTGAAAAGAAGATGGCCCCGTGATGTCCTAATGTAGACATATCATTAGAGTTCTTCCATTGGGTAGTTACTCAGCAAGTGTTTTCATGCCATTATATCCATATGTTCAAATTTACTAGATGTATTTATATAATACAGTTGTAAATATCATTAAGAAATAATAAAAAAAAATCTTAAGCAAATTACAAAATATGTTAAACATAAACAAAACGAAAACCATGTAAAGCTCTAGAATAAGGGTAACCAAACTAGGGCCCGCGAACGTTTCTTTGACTACATGGAAATCCAATTTTAAAAACTTAAAAAAAAAAATAAGAAATTTACCAAAATACTCACACAAGAGGGTAATACAACATTTATTGCAACGTTTTTTTCTATTAGAAAGCTCATTTGACAGATGAAATGTCATTTATAAAAAAATATTTTTTTTTTCGTTACAAGCCATGGCTTAGGTGGAGGTCTCAAGATGGCCTCCGGGTCAAAAGGTTTGGAAAACCTTGCTCTAGAAGAACCGTTCGATAAAGAGTGAGGAATGTGATATCAGTCAGGGTACATCATGTGATATCTGTGAATGTGATATCTCTTTAGTTCGGTATCTAACAGAGTCGACTTTCTTCTAGCAACAATACAGTTTACTTAGTTGGGATTCGAACCCAGGCCGTATTGACATATAGACAGGCCATCGAACCAGACAGCAGTCAGCGGGCCAAGGTCAGTGTGTGGATGTGATGGGTCAGCAGCTGTGGTCAAAGGCCTTCAGGTCTCCTATCTTCTTCCTGCTGGTCTTCTTCCTTCCTCAACTTTCTTGCGATTGAGGGCAGGAGAACAGTGGGAGCTATCTCCGCTCCTGAAGGCTCGTCCTTAGAAGGAACACGGACCAATGAGGTCAGGCCATCCTGCCGCTTCTATAGGAATCACCTGTCTCGAAGGAGCTAAGGTCACCCTTGAAGTTTATGTCCTTCGAATACGCAGGACAATAATAACAGTTTTTAACTCTAATATTTTTAATAGTATTCATATATTTTTTAAACCACTTTCTATAGAAAATGAGAAAATAAAACTTTTGTGAGTGAATATTTTCTGTGGAAACGTTTATTTTCAGAGATGTAAAAAAGACTTATACATATTGTTAAAAATAGATAAGAATTTGGCTTTTTCTTATTTTTAGCATTACAGCCATGCTTTAATGGTGATTTTCTTATATAATAAACATGAGAGAACTAATCCACCAATTATTAACATAATTAATTGATAAAAAATAAATAAATAAAAGAAAAAGAAAAAAAAACACCTGTCCGAAAGGTCTTGGGTTCAGCACTATTTAGGGAAAGCACTGTTTCTTGGTCTACGGTTGTGCAAGGAGGTAATTTGACCCATATCACGCTCAACCGCAAAGTTTTTCCCCCTAATTAATTATTTTAATTCAGAGCACCCACTTTATTGAGGCTGAGTGTGCCCCACGAGGGTATACGTACGTAGATAAATAATTGTTCTGTCATGAGCCGGGATTCGAACCTGGGACCTTTAGCATTGAAAGCTCAGTACCCTACCACTAAGCTACCCCACTCCTTAATTAATTGATAAATAATTAGTTAATTAAATCTTGTTGAACTATCACGTGTAAAAGGTTGATATTTGGTGAGGTGGGCACATCACACAACTTTCACGTATTACTCCTAAGTAGAAACCAATTATAATGAATCTAAACTACTTAAATATATATCGTGTCCCTTAAGTAAACGGAAATATTTATAGGAGTAATAACAGAGCCCAAGAACTACAAAAGAGCTTAAACATTGGTTTAAATACATAAACATTGGTCCGAATTTCAGACCTAGAATTAGGAAATTTATATTTTGTGTTTTTTTAGGAAGTCACTTTTTATTAATAGGATGAGGTAACTAAAAAAAATTAAATTTAAGTAATTAACAATTGCTTCATAGTAAACTAAGGAAAATTGACTTCAAATGAAAGCAGAGTTTGTCATTGCTAAAACCATTTAAAAAGGACTTATGAGTGGATAAAGCTAAGGTGTGTTCTTAACATTGACTAAACAAGGCTTACTAAACAAGGAAGTGTTTCTAAAAATGGGTTAATTTGAGGTAATAAAATAAATGGAGGTAATAAAAACGAAATTGAGAATTGTTCATGATTTTTTTTAAATCAAAATATATCGAAATAGTAAAAAATATTGGGTATCAATGAGATTAAAAATTTAATTTAACTTGTCTATTGACAATTATTACAATCGATCTCAATTAAGGACATTTATAATAGAGTTCAGAGATCACATTGACTTCATGATTAATAATCGAAAAAAACATGATTATTAACATTAAATTAAAGTTTTTTCTACAGATTTTTAATACATTTAATAACAAGAATCAAATATTTATGTATTTCTTATCACAAAAAAAAAAGGACAAATATCAATAAATCAATATTAATAAATTGATACGCTGATTTGATAAGTTTTCTTATAAAATTTATTACTAAATCTAAGAAATAAAAAACATAATAATAATAACTAAACAAGTGTTTCAAGTATTTATTTTTAGGAATATTATCATATTTAATCTGCTTATCAGTGAAGTGGTTTTTTTTTTTAAGACGTTGTAAATTATTTCATACTTTTTTTTTTTAACTAACGATTTTCAATAGTCAAATTTTAATACAGATATAATTTTTTTTTTTTTAAATATTAAGATTGTTGTTTGTTGTGTGCATTGTGATCCACACATCTATATGACAATACTATTAACCTAGACCATAACAATCAAGAATGTATGTATACCATGCAAGCTTTAAAAGGGAGACCTCTTTCTACGCGATCTCTCAGCACGACTAAACCTATTGGACATCGTGGAGACTTGAATGGAAGGAGGCGAACCCCCTACCACGACCTGAAGCAATGATGGCAGTCTGCGAGCCAGTTCCGGGCCACCGTATGAAGACATGGGGGGAGGGGAACAGGACTTCTTGCAATTCTTTACCTCCGCACATACTGCGCAATTCCCGCTTCATTGAATATAACTCTCATGATATAATGTAATTGATATTTCTTAAATAATATATGTTTATACCTTAGTCGGTGGTAGAGAACCCTTTTTATTATCCGTATAAATCTTCGTAAATGGTTTCATCATAAAGCAACGTAAAACTTTTTTATTAACAAACAATCTCTCTAAAATGGAGAATTTTCAATCTGAATATTACTAAAATTTGTTGGTTTAATAAGGCACTAAAACCTCATGAATATTTTCTTTCTACTTGAATCGAGAGAAAAAAAAAGTGACCTACAAAAATATTGGGCCATTTTCCATGATCTCCACCCTCGCCACCCTCTATCAGCATAACGAGATTATATTGGCTAAATTGCCCAATATTTTTGTAGGGTTTTTTTTTTCCTTTTGTGATCAAATTATCTTACGATTCGAGTGGAGAGCGAATGGGTATTCTTGAGTTTTTAATACCTTAAGTTAATTAATTTAACGAGAAAACGTCCCATTTCTAATAATTTACGTGAACAAAAAAAAGATTTAGCTTACGACAAGACGAAGCAGTTTACGAACTTTTAGATGGATGTAAATAATTTGAAAAAAAAAAAGGTCTGTACATTGGACTAATTATTTATATCACATGGTTTGTACAGGGTGTCCTCTAAATAGAGGAAAATATTTTAAAATTTGATAATAGGCATCAAGATCTACAAACATTTTCAAATAAAGCATTGCCCAATTTCGAGGAGAAAAGTGGGAAATTTAAGATGTGTGTTTTATTAAGTTTTTTTGTTAAATAGGAAACGATAACTTAAAAAATGTTTGGTTTAAGTCATTAAACATTTTTCTATAGAAAATTTGATTCCAACTGGAGATGAATCTAAATGTTTTTTCTGATCATCCTCAACATAATTAATATGGACTTCATCTTATTAAACGTGGAAGTTTTTTTAAAAGTGGAATAAATGAAGTACAGTTAAAGGGTGATAGAAATAAACAATAAAATAATTTAAGACTTTTTTTTTAAACGGAACTTAGCTGTGTTTGACCTCTTAATAGTCCTTAGTTGTTTTAATGATGAAAAACTCTACTTTCGTATAAAGTAAATTTTGTCTAGTTTGCTATGGAGGAATTTTTATTTATTTAAATCAGATATCTTCAAGTTATTGTTTCCTGTCCAACAAAAAATGTGAGATAAAAAAATACGAACTTAAATTTCCTTCTTTTCAGCTGGAAATTGAGCAATTGTGTGCACTATCATTCCTATAAATATTTATCCTTGTTTACGAGACACCCTGTATATTTATTTCACTTCTAACTAATCGAAACAACCATATGAAAATTATATTTTTTTGCACATTCACTAGCACTGTTGATTAGGTTAGACAAGGTAATTTCCGGCAGTAGGAGTCTATACAGTTAACGTCACTACACTGCAGTTGCTGTCAACTACCAAGTGAAACACTATAGGACAACACTAAAAAGTATCAAGTGCTTCTTATTTTGACGATTAATTGCGTCATGTACAGTAAAAAGTCTGTCGTGAGGTTAAACTGTCAGTGTGTGTACGGGTACTTTTTTAATCTATTTATATTGCATTCAAGAAGCATTTTTTGTAATTTTTCAGTTTTCATATAGTAGTAGGGAACCCGATGAAGCTTAATCGTCAAGAAATTAACCACGATATCCTACTTTTTTTCTGTTTCTTATAGTTACTTTTATATTTTAAACATCGAGCAGGATCTATCCAATTGGTAAAGTTTAAAAATCGATATAGTTTTTGTGTAATTGTATTGATGTAATAAGCGGTCCTAGTTCGGTTTGATACTAGCAGGGGTGTTATCCAACGACAATCTCATTCCAAACAAGTGTTTGGCGAGAGTGTGGACAGTGCCATGACTTGAAGCCCGGAGGATCGAGTGGAGCAGGTCCAAACAGGTTACCTGGAGATCGCCATTCGTGACAAACCCAACAACTGGTCCAGTTTTTTTTCACCTTCGAGATGTGGCAACGAGAAATAGGTCACCTTCTCTTCCAGGGCCCATCGGGTACCTGATCCTTCATTACTTAGGATAATTTGTATAGAAAGGATTCGCATTGTTCGTTAGCCTTCAAGCCATCAAAGATAGATTTTGGCGCCCGAAATACAAGTCCAAGCGAGCTCATAGATGTCACTGCAACTTCTAGCTAGATATGGGAATAGTTCTGAGTAGATATCGAATTTCAAGAATATTTTATTAGATTTTTGATATATTTTAATCGACTCGAACCGACTTTACCCGAATGAGCGTTAGATAGCCGAACGTGACGGCTTAGTCTCATTAATACCCACAAAATAAGTTAAGCGTGCTTAAAGAAGTTTCTACTTCAAAATTAATGCAAACATGTGATATTGAATTCCACTGTTATATTGAAGTTCTTGATAGTGATATTGAAGTTCTTGTTTGCCAAATGTAGGTTAATTTACCAAATAACCACCCGGTTCCAAATAACTTCATATGACGTACCCACGCCTTAGGCTATGCGTAGCTACTGGTACCTGGAACGATAGGCTTGAGGAGTGGGGAGTGATATCAGGTTCGCAAAGTGGTCAGTATCAAGACCGGATTGCACTTTCCCTGACCAATCCATCGGACGTCCTCATCCGCTCCGGGTCCTATCTGAAGAGTTTGTACCCGCCACGGCACCTGTCAACGATACGTATAATTAACGTCAAGCCGTTTCCACGTGGCCTCGTTAAGTCAAAGGGGTCAGTAAGTTGTAGGGGTTGGAGGATTGAATCCCTCAACGAGATCAGGTATTGAACGACCTCTTGATCAGGCTAACTGCTGATGGTTATGGGTTTCCCGGGCAGGTATTGAGTAAACATTACCTAAAAGAGGTTACCTAATTCGAAATTTGGTTGGACATTTACTTAGTTAATTAATTAAGTGAGCTTAATTTTTCATAAAAATAAAATTTAATCTTAATTTTTTGGTCATTTAAATATGAATCGTGAATTAAATTTAACCATTTTTCATAAAAAATAAAAATAAATTCTTACTGTGCGAGCATTAAAATTAAAAGTTTAAATATTTTCATAATAAAATGTAGGAGGGTAGAAGTCATTCTAACAAAAAAAAAGAGAAAAATGAAAATGTTTTTATTGTAGCACTCTTCTTCCAAACGAGAGATGTTCAAAAAATATCTAAAGACTCAGTAAATAAGCTATAGTTCATACTGTAGTATAGAGTCCCTCCATATATATATAGACATAAAATATATTATTTAAGGTTTTTTTTTTTTTTTGAAAGAGAGATATCAAACTTTTAAAGTAAAAATAATACCATGTGTCTCATTGAAGCTCAAACTATTTATCGATATTGAAGGAAGATGAAATAAAAAAAGAAAGAAGATGAAACTAAAAAAAAATTAGATAAACGAGAAAAAAAAAAGAAGAAAATGATAATAACGATAGAAATAATACATGTACATCACAAGCAAAATGTACATGGATTAATAAATTAAATAACAAAAAAATAAGTAAATAACCAATGTAAAGAAAATTAATGAAATAAATCATCTTTAATCCACTCATTATACAAAGTACATACATTATACTTAGCTTAGCGGTTCTCAAAAAATATATGAGCACTCTTGTAAGGTAATAAACAAATTTCGGTATCATCTTCCATCTTTGAAAAATCGCGACACTCCTGTCCGATTAAAAAAAATCTTGCAATAACCTTGTGTTGAAAGTATTATACATGAAAGTATTATTCATCGTTTCACACAGTTTAGAGACGGATCCAATACCATCGATGAGTTCAACGCTTAATATATGAACTTTTATACCTATACTATTTTATTGACAACTGTTACATGAGTCTTGGCAAAATGTAAAGTGAAATTTCTACTGTGTAGGTTACTTATTACGGTGTAGTAATTCATCATGGACATCACATTACATGTCGCATTATAATGCAAGGCAACACACATTACAATGTTACATAATTATGTTAACACTATTTACAATTTCGCTATTTTAAATGATAATTATAGTGATTTCCTATTTATTACTTTTACCTTTTTTGTAGTTATATTATGAATGTGATTGGTTAATCCTATTTATTAATTTAATTCCCAATTCTTTACTTTTTTTTTTTTTAATAAAGTTTTCATATAAAAATAATTTCGAACGATGGTAAATAAAATCAATCGATTTGATATTATAGGATCATATATTTCACGAGCAACTATGTAAATAAAAAATTGCATGAAAAAAAAACTAAGCGCTGAGCTCATTGATGACATTCTTTCTCACAGTTTGGAAATGGGTCCGATTGCATCGATGAGCTCGGCTGCTATTTAATAATACTACTAATATCCATACTATTTCGGTAATTAAACCATTGTCTAATTTTCGACTGAGAAGCAGGAAATTCAAGCTTTGTCATTTTTTGTAAGGTTTTTTGTAGAATATAAGACGGTAACAAAAAAAAATATTTAACTTAGGTAATTGAATTCGTTTGGCCAGAGCCTTGTTTGTCTTTCATTGAAAAATTCCCGGCACGAAATTTTGTAACCAATTGTTACACTGCCTTTCATTCAAGGCTACAGCACCGTACACATCACATAACTTTTGTGTGATTGTAAAGCATTTTTTTCTTTTACGAAGGAAAAACGAGAATTGTCGAAAATGCGCACTTTGAGCTAGGGATATTTCGATCGATGGAATGTTTCATTTAGTTGCGAAGTTTCTTCCGCATTTAGTCACTCATTGAAGAGGTCGTTGTATAATGAATGTATTGTGTACTCCAAGGAAGCGATGAAAGATGTGGTCTTTTGAGATGCAAAGTGGGCGGAACTTGGACGGGGGAGGTTGTACTCAATTGGTTGAGCTAGTGCAATAGAACGCGATAATGTTGGCCTGTTGTGACCTCCTCGTCAAGGCTGCTCTATTCAACCTTATAAGCCCGAACGTCGTAAAAAGTATACATAACATACGATATAATATTATATATTGCGTTGGTAACTAGTGAGGTA